AATTGGCTAAGGTAGCTGCGAAAACAGGCACTCGGCAGGTCTTCTGGGTGCGAAGGGCATTCAGGAGATGCGACCCATAAACCATTCCAATGATGCACAATACCTACTGCGGCTCACTTTAAATACTTTATCCATATTGGGTAACCTTGGTTGAAGCGTGATCTATGGGCATTAGAGGCACCATAACAAACAGCAACAAAGTTTGTAAAGGGCTTGAGCAATCAATCGTGCCACCGAATGACGCAGTTGCTTGGAGTTTTCCGCGGACGCCACCGAAGGCTGCGCGGAGACACCACCTTAGCGTCCCGGGTGTTAAGGGACCGCAAAAGCATGCTGACATGTGCTGAATCTGAGCCACAACACGCAGCTCAGGGATAAACTTTTGCAATTGAGGGAACGAAATAGCCACTTACATTGTCGGTAGGATTACTGTTCCCTTTGGGGTTGTTACCCAGCATACTCACTTGCAGACTCAGTTGTACAACATACAAGTGGATATCTTTAAGCTCCCGTCACTTAGTGTTTTAAACTATGCCATGCTTGATTACGTTAATCATGACCTTTGACAGGGTTTACTTGTCATATAGGCCCAGGGAGGTAACGCAGTAGTAGCGAACACGTTTTAATTTTTCTTATGCTTTACATCAGACAGCACCACATGTTGGGCTAAAGGCAGACCCTATCGCAACAGTTATCAGTAGCGTTGAACGGCCTGGATGCGAAAAAGCAACCAAACAACATCAGGTCGCAAGCAGTCCCCAAAAGAGAGAAACACCTTAGAACCACAGTGGTATGCGCACAATGTAGGGGCGCATAAGCAAGGTGCAACACACAACCCCTGGACACAGTGGGAAAACGCGCCATGAAACTTCCAAAATGGATAGGAATGATGGGTTGGTGTATGGTTGTGGGAACAATTGCTCCGAGTATTAGCTACGGTTGACGCAGTAAGTAATTCCGTCTGCATCGCGGTTTCTTACACCATCACCCGTGTATTTCCATAGGTTTATACTCGTATCTATTTTACAACAACGTTGTTTATCGAACAATTTATCGGCATCCGCTTGGTAGTTGACTCACGTGCGTACAGACTTCCTGCTACTCACCCATGTGCTTGCTTTTATCCCGTAATATAATATCGCTGCTCATTATTGTGCATTGTTTAATATCCTGAACCATCGTACCTCTTCTACAGGCCTCGTGCACCTGCAGGACAAAATGCGAGCCATCATTGATTACCCCGAGTCCCTTATACAGAACAAGAAACCACAAATGCATCCGCCCTTCTAACTCAACCATAGACCAGGTCAAATCAGATAGCGACACAGGCCAACCCATCCTCGACGAGTCAGAACCAGTAAACCAGATAACCTAACGCTACTCGTCCCCTGACTTCTATTGTCTAGGCTTGTGATCCCGCTATTTCAATACTACCGGTCCTATCAACGATGTTGAGGTTAGCCCAGGTTAAAACAAATGGCGATGGAATGAACGACCGCAAAAATGGTACTAGTAGCAGCAGAACCTCTTTTAGCCCTACAGCAACAGGAAGCACAATTTCAAACCGCTCAGCACCGTCTTCTGGATACGCTGACAAGTAGCCCGGCAAACTTTCAAGACCAAGACATTGCAAAAAGCAAAACCAGGCTGGATTCGTTTCTTGTACAATCCAACTTTTACAGCCTACTATTGTACTTGGTATCATATTCGAATACCGATTCAAACGTTATGAGGACATAATCCAACTGGAATTTAGTGGTAAAGATGATGCAAGCGACTAAAAACAATGCTGCGGAATTAGGAGGGCAAAGCAAAAATTACTGGCCTACCAACTACATTTAGTAGGATGCCCAGGTGCATTATCGTTCAATGACGCCTTTCGGTGTGGGACACAGGTATTTAGCGAACGTTCTACACCATTCAGCGCCCGCGTGATTATATGACACTCGCATCAAAGTTCTGTAGTCCGTGCGTGTTGGACTAAATGTAAACAATAATGTACCAGGTGTCGGTAAGTTGGAAGTGCCAAGATGCGAAACGGCAATCAGCCAACAGCAGGCCGTGAGGACTCCCCTAAAAGGTGGAAAAATTCTGAACCGTAGTTGTATGCGCACGAGGAATGGACGCATATACAGTGCACAAGACGCCACTGCTAGACAGAAAGAAAGCCGCTCCATGCAATCTAAAACAGAGAGTGGAAGGTGAGTGGATGGTTCGTTGGTCAGAATCGGGGCACTTAGCGTGAGCTACGTTTGAAAAAATAAAAAACCGCTTTAGGTATTTAGTTGTGTAATAGCGGTAAGATGGTCAGTAACTGTTTGACATCCGGCGTTTATATACGGAGACACATGTTCCACTGTCGGAGGTAATATCGCAGTGTTTCGTCTATCCTGTCTGATGTCCTAGAGACGCTGAGCTAGTCTAGACAAACTTACATATCCAATGATGCTTCAGCTACGCCCCTGCAGTAAGTTTCGTCGCAACCTCGCTTTATGGAACAATATTGCCCCATAGAGTCCCATCGGCGTTCAAAGTCATATGTGCTCCATCAGTGGCATGTTCGCTACCGTGGGCTAGAAAGTTTTTATGCCATTGCTTATAAGTCACCGGAGTTGCTTGACTGCATCGTCAGTGATCTGCATATTGTACAGCGCTACTTTATAAACCGACGGAAGCTGCTCCGCATCCCTACGCCAAGTGTATAACGATAATCGGCTAAACAAAAATTAAGGGCACAGCCTATAGTTTCGCCTCATACGAAAGTGCTAATACACCTAAGGTTGCATTAAATTTTAATAGGGCTACTTACGCAGGGAACACAGGTGAAATTCCTGGATTGATGAAACGTATTTGCAGCGATACACTGCGTCGAAAAGGAACAGGGTGCAAAACTTTTAATGCAGGGAATATGTATTAGCAAAGTTATTGTTGGTTCTTTACTAACCACGACTTGGGATTACTTTTTTCAGGACTTGAACTCCAGCGAGAACTGGAAGAAGGCGTCTTTCATTGTTCTCGGACTCGCTAGGTGATACGTATATAATTTAGAAGCCTAAAGAAAGATATGTTTGTTAAATTGTTTACGACCTTTGTTAGACTGCACTTGGAGTATTGCGTCCAGGCCTTTCCTCCTTGTCTGATTCGTGCCAGCATGGCGGTTGTGCGGGTCTTGAGATACGAAACCAAAATGTATAACGGTTTGCGGCACCTGTCCAATCCTGACCGATTTCTCGAGCTAAAGATGTTTTCGTCACATTTTGGGTATTTTCGTGGCCGCCAGATTCTTATAGTGCCTGATTCTTATAGTACACTGACAGGGCGGATTGGACCGGACCTTTCTTGCCTTTTTATCATTCACAGTTACCTACACTCGGCGGCCGTCCGATGAAATTGCACACACTCAGATCTGCTCGGGTTTAGGCTGACACTCGTTTGGCACGCCGTGCTAGTTCCTTGGAACCTACCTGAGGACGTAGTCTTGTGCTTCACGCTAACAGAGTTTAAGCGTCGCCTCGACGCCCGCAACTTGCAGCTCCGAATGTTCCCTTTTTCATATTGTTACATGCCGTTTGCTCTCTAGCCATCTTCCTTTTTATTTATTCTTGAACTTCCTTTTCATTGTCTTTTTTACTCCCTTCCGCTTAGTGGTTGAACTCGCTATGCTTTGTACGTGCTAATTTTACTACGACAACCGGCCTACTTTTCCACCGCATACTAAGGTGGATCAACGACGCACACAAGTTGGCACTACGATTATGGTTTTGGTTGGATCCATGGAAATGAAATTTCAAGCCACATCGGGAAGCGCTCACTCAGGAAAAGCACCAGACGCGCGTTTCTGAGGAATTGTTCATGGGTCCCATACTGGGGATGAAACCCAGGACTGCTGGAAGATAACGCCAACCAGCCAGCAGCTTATGACACTGAGCCATGGGGACGACAACCGACCAGTGAGAACTGAAACCTGACTGTGTTCTAGCACGACCCATCCACCACTGCCGTGCAGACTATAGCCCGTGCAGAGGAAAGTACTTGGCTATCGCGGTCAGCTGTACCCTTGCCACTGCTATGCATCCACGCAGCAATTTTGAATACTGGTAGAGATAACGTTCTTCATTACTAATGAGTATACGGATTTGGGTATGCTACGGTTTGGTTAATTGCAATTAGCTACCATGCCGCATAGGAACGCCACCCATCTGGAAAAGCACCAGACGCCCGTTTCGCCATATTGAGGCACGTCCGTGGTGCGTATCGATCTGTCCCCTACTAGGAATCGAATCAGCGACAGCTAGAGGCTAGCGCTACCCGGCCGCAGCTAATGCCACCGAACCATATGGGACGAGAGCCGAAAATTGCGAATTAGAACCAAAATGCGCTATAGCCTGACCCATCAAACACATCAATGGTCCCTATGGTCGGCCTTCCTCCCCCATAGATCAACGGCATATGCTGTAGGCTAGTTAGCGTTAGAATCTAGTGATAATCGGGTGGATCCCTAATAGTGGACGGATGGCTGAGAAGCTCTGACGAGCCGTAATAGGGAGAAACGCGCGGCTGGTGACTTCAGGAATGGTAAGTTATGTGACTTGGAAGCTAATTGCGATGAACCAAACCGCATGATAACCAAGTTAGCTACTTATGAGTACTTATGTTTTGGTTTCTTTCCTGTCCCATTTGAATATGCATTTCATTATATTTTTGCAGCACTACGAAAAGAATTCCCGTAATGTTTCTTATCAATAATTACATCCAGTTGCGCCTTTTCTTCTTAAACACCCAAGCTTGCCCGAGGCACGTTTCCGCGATAAAGTAACACGATTTATCTTGGCGCTTTACTGGGTGGTTAGTGTCAGTAGGTGCAATAATTAGTGCTGTCATCCTAATTGCAAGTGAAGCGAGTAATTAAAAAGGAGAACGTTAAACTAAAATGATGCGTTATGGGCATACGGATAATTATTTCCTTTGTTATATTACCCCACGCGAGCCCACTTGTTTTAACTGCTCTCGTGCACACAGTGACTCGACTGGCGGCTTCGGGAGCATGGGTGAGTTCTTGCCGTTTTCCTCCTTTCCTGCGGTTATGCGTGCTGAACTTCACGTTGCCGATACTACTTCGTAATCTGCCTTGTTGTCTTTTGAGGCCATCAAGTCTTGCTTAATTTTTCTTTAAAATTGTGCTTTTCTAGTCTGTTCTAAGCTTGTTCGCAAACATGTAGCTGTCTGCTTTTTTCGTACTCTGTAAAACGTGGACTAACTTTCGTCACAAATGGAGGGCGAGTCACGGGCTCCTGGGCCAGAAAATAATAGGCGAAAGAGGGCAAGAAAAAGTGCGCAAACCCTCCGCACCCAAACCGAGAGATGAGAAGTCGCTCAAGATGCAATAGCCTGAGCGGGAAACACCACATGGTGATGAAATTCCATTAGTTTCACTTACGGTTGTGCAGGTTGGGGTGAAAAACCCCCAGATGTCCTCATCGCGTGCTACTCAAACTGCGGTGCCTACTCCGGACACGTCCTGTCTTCCGGGGGTACAGGTCGTGGAGGCGGGCATGGACGTTGAGCCACGGGCTTCTTCGCCTGCAAGACGAAAAATCGGAACAGTACTGCCCGTACTTTTCAGGCAGGTACGAAAAGCGTCAAGAATGACGGGACAAACAAGCTGGAGCGTAAGACGTACGCTACAATTGCTTCAACGTCGTCTAATAACTTGCGCCCAGTCTCATTGTCTGCGACTAAGCCGGTTGCTGTTCATGTAAATTCCAAACCCCGTGGGGTAAATACACCCCGTCGAGGTGATTATTTCATGGATAGCAGCGTGATATTCCGTAACGCAGTGGAATCCACTGCTGCACTTCCTGACGACCTACAGTGGTTTAAGATGTGCGTAACGAAGCTTCTTCCACCTGGGTTTCCCGGTGTTACTGTCAGGAAACTGACTAGATTGGGTAACGTCCCAGTTAACGCCCCAACCCCTCGACCGCGCTTACTTCGGGTAGTCCTATCCACTCTGGAGGAACACAACGCGCTGTTGCGGTTTGCCTTCAAATTGAAGGGTACTAATGTTAGCGTTCAGCCAGACCTCCCATTGGTGGATAGGCTGAAGCTAAAAGAGTCCATTAAGAACCTCAAAACCAAGCGAGCGGCCGGTGAACAAGGTCTCCGGTTGGTGGGTTTTCGGGTGGTCAGCCGGCGGTCTGTTTCCGCCCTACCAGTGCCAGTACTGGTAGCCCACGACCTCAGGACTGGACATTACGAGTACCTTCAGATAGTGTTAAGCAATGTGCGGAGTCTAAGGAATAAGATGTGCGAGATAGGTCTGCTTGTAGATGGGTCTCATCCCGATATACTTGCATTCACTGAAACTTGGCTGTCTCGGGACATCACGGACGGTGAAGTACATCTGTCTGGCTACACACTATTTAGATGTGATCGCTGCGTTGGCTGACAAGGCGGGGACGTTGCGCTCTACGTTAGATGTGAACTTGATGTTTCACGTACCTACACGTTTCAGTCGGCAGATAAAACTGTCGAAGCTCTGTCGGTAGTGATTAGCACATCCTCAGCTCAACTTACAGTTGTACTTGTGTATAGAAGCCCTGGGAGTGCGTCCAAAGAGGTGCTTGACTTTATTCGCTCCCAATCCGCAAACAGGTGTTTGATACTGGGGGATTTCAATCTACCAGAAGTTTGCTGGCCAGAAATTTCTTGCAACTCGACGGAAGGTACTTTCGGTGCAGATCTACTTGAGCTTACGCTACAAGTACCGTTGCATCAGTTCGTGGACCCCACTAGGTACATGGATGCCCAACTCCCATCTATTTTGGATCTAGTGTTTGGCAGGTCACTAGACTTCGTAGGTGACATCACTTACAGCTCTCCCTTAGGTGCTAGTGGTCATGTTTGTTTATCGTTCAGGTGTACTCTGACCAGGCGTCACAAGGGCATTGCTATGCCTTTTCCAAACATATGGCGTGCTATCAGGCAATGCGTATCAAGGCTTCTGGGTTGCGTTGCGAAATCTCGGTAGTTGATACGGTTCAGGCGGCCTAGGATAAATTTAAATCTTATCTCACCGAAGTGTCTACTCCCTACATCCCGCTTGCGAGGAGAAAGGAGACACGAGCGCGGCCGCCGTGGATAGATACCACTGGCAAGTACCTGCTCCAGAAGCGTTCTAGGTGCTGGAGGACCTACGGTGCGGCTCCATAAACTAGCACCTATGATAGATACCGCGAGGCTAGAAATAGGTGTAAACAACACTTAAGGAAAGCTCAGCTGGTGTACGAAAAGGAATTGGCTGGTGGAGCTTCGGAAAATCCGAAGAGTTCTTCGCTTATGTTAAGAGACGCTGTGGTTCAAATCCGGTAATCCCAGCTTTGATGCGGGTCGATAGAACTTGTGCGTATGCGGACTCAGATAAGGCTCGCGTACTTGGGGAGCAGTATGCAGGGGCTTTTGTACGTGTGGCCGCGTTGACTAGCGTTGAACTTGTCCCCAGAGTACCTGAGGGTTCTTATTTAGCTGAGTTTACTGTAGTGGAAGCGCAAGCCCTTAAACTGCTGCAAGTACTGAACCCTTCCAAAGCAGCTGGACCTGATTTAATTCACCCGAAGCTTCTGCATGAGTTGGCGGGGGAACTAAGTGGACCGCTGACGATGATGTTTCAGAAGTCAATTGACAGTTGTGCATTATCTGAATGGAAGGAGGCTGTCATATGTCCTGTCTTCAAACATAGCGACAGGAATCTGTCAGCCAATTATAGACCAGTCAGTCTGACTAGCGTCGTGGTCAAACTGCTTGAAAAGCTGGTGAGAGATTCGTTGGAATGTCACCTGAATAGATTTAATCTACTCAGTAGTGCACAACATGGATTCAGGAAGGGGTGTTCGTGTCTGACCGATTCGTTGGTTGCTCGTGAAGCTTGGGCCCAGGCAATGAACAATGGCCACGTAGTGGATGTGCTTTTCGTAGACTTCTCGAATGCATTTGATAAGGTACCCCACTTGAAGCTATCACAAAAGCTGAGCTCCTACGGCGTATCTGGCCGCGCCCTTCACTGGCTATCTGCGTTCTTGCAGGGAAGAGAGCAGTGTGTACGTGTAGGTCGCAGCTTATCCTTTAGGCAAGTGCTCCTTGGCGGTGTCCCACAGGGCTCGGTCCTTGGACCGATGCTGTTCTCCATCTACGTAAACGATCTCCCTGGAGAGCTTGGGGTATCATCCCTATTGTTTGCTGAGGACCTTAAGCTATGGAATGTTGTAAATGTTCCTGGGGGTTCTGAGGCTATACAGCATGCACTGGACAGACTCTGGAACTGGCCTACTTTGTGGCTACTGCCCATTAATCAGGCTGTGTTCCGTCCTTCGTATAGGAGCAACTTTCCTGCCTTCGAGCTACGTACTCGGTGGGGTCGAACTCCCCCTTGTCTCCAACCAGGTAGACCTAAGCGTCGTCTATTCCTCGTCTTTGCATTCTGGTAACAACTGGAAGAAGGCCGCAAGTAGGGGTTTTAGAATGTTGTGGTTAATACGCCGTTCTTTCGGGGTCTTAACTGCTGACATATTTGTAAAGCTGTTCTCAGCTTTCGTTCGACCCCATCTGGGATACTGCGTCCAGGCTTGCCCGCCCTGCCTTGTTCGAGACGAAATGGAGCTCGAGAGGGTTTTGAGAGTAGGTACCAAATTGGTCGTGGGGTTACGGGGGCAATCGTACCCCGAGCGTCTACTTAGCTTGGGTATGTATTCAATGTACTACCGACGGCTTCGAGGAGACCTAATCCTTACTTACCGCATTTTAACACGGAAGGTTGGACCGGACTTGAGCTGGCTATTTAGCCCGGGTAGGTTGCCTTGTCTTCGCGGTCATCCCATGAAGTTACACAAGCTGCGTTCTGACCGGATCAGGGCGGAAACTCGGTTATCGCGTAGAGTTATCGAGCGCTGGAACTCGCTTCCAGAAAGTGTAGTCAGTTAACCTACGATTAAGGGTTTCGAGCGTCAGTTAGACGCTCTTGGGTGGCAACACGAAACCTTTCCCTTCTCCTGACCATATCCATTTTCAAACTTTTAGTTTTTATTCTGTCATTCTCTTCACTCTTTGGTGTTATCCTTCATTTAAATGACTTTCATTGCCCTTTATCTTCCATTTACTTTTTACTTCTTACTTCACGTAACCTACACAGCGGGGACTACTAGTGCAGGGAACGTGGGCAGTAATTGGTTGATCAGGGTGTTTCGTTCTAGATCTATCAAGACCTAGCACCTTATTTCCTAGCTCAACGATTTGTTCAAGAAGGAACACTCAAGGTCCATCTGAATCTGAATCACTACGAATGCTAAAACCAGCACCAGTGCGTTCCCACGATTCCTCGCATTTCACGGTTGGGGTTTTGTTTCGTTATGCTGGCTGGCACCACCCCGTCCGCACAGATGCAGGGTCAGCCGTCCCATCTCTTCATTTTTGGTCATTCGCAGAGGTAAAATTTTAACACGATAACTAACGGCGTGATTTGTCCGCATATTTTGTCAAATAAGACTACATCTTCAGCACCTCGCACTTTACCTACAAGGCATAACTTTTTAAGCAAATCGTTATTTCATCCATCGCGAGTGACCATTGGAGTTCCCTGAGTGACCACTTTTCGTTCATTGGTTCATTGTAGAGAGGAAGAAAAACCTTTGTCAGCCCCATCACTTTTTATTTACTGTAGAGATCCTGTGAGTTGATGCTTCACAGTGTTCCACAAGGGAGCATTGCGGTCACTGTACACAGCAAGATCCATGCTTTTCCAGCAGGTTGATATCTAGCATGCGTTGGAGCATTCCGCTGTTTGCGCACTGACGAGTAGCTCAGGCAAACTGTTCCCGTCATTGAGCACACGTGTTGACAAAGTTACATCAGAGCGAACACGAAGCCTTATTTGTTTATAAAGCTTCATAGGGTGGTCTTGTGTCGAATTATCCCTTCGGAGAATATGTCGCATGTAAATCAAGTCACCACGGTAACGACGATACTCCGGGAAGAACAAGTTCATCCTCTGAAGGCG